CTTTGTCCTACTTTGAGATTCCTACCTACATTCCTATTGTCCACTCCACCTGGCTAGGTTTAGTTAAGCCGTTAGTCTCTAGACTGCCGGCTAACCTTCATGATCATGACAGCATTTAAGGAAAGCGTCTGCTTTTCTGAAAAAATATTTGGAAAAGCAGATCTGGTTTTTTTTGGCATCCCAGAAAACCTTATTTTACAAGGAGGAAGGGATGTTCTGAAAGAGGGGTTTTTTTCTGACATTTGGCTCAGTGTAGACGGGCCAAATGTCAGAAAAGCCTCTTTCAGAAGAAAAGCAGAAAAAGATGCACAAATTGCGGTTCACAATTTGCTTATCTTTTTCCAACTTTTCTTTGTAGTCTGGACACAGCCTAAGAGGGACCATGATAACAGTTTTCAAGTAACTAAAAGGATGTTACAAGGAGGGGGAGAAAATTGTTCTCCTTGGCAGGAGAATTGTTCTCTCTGATGACAGGACAAGAAGAAATGGCTACGTCTACACTGGCATGATTTTCCGAAAATGCTTTTAACGGAAAAGTTTTCTGTTAAAAGCATTTTCGGAAAAATCGCTTCCAGATTGGCAGGATACTTTTCTGCAAAAGCGCTTTTTTGTGGAAAACCGCGTCTAGATTGGTCATGGATGCTTTTCTGCAAAAAGTGCTTTTGCGGAAAAGCATTTTGCCAATCTAAACGCGATTTTTCCGAAAATGCTTTTAACTGAAAACTTTTCCGTTATGCATTTTCGGAAAATCATGTCAGTGTAGACGTAGCCTAATAGTCTTACCAATAGCTAATGAAACCTTCACTTAGTTCACGTGCTCTTCATTCATAAACATCAAGGTTTCTGCTATAAAGTGGAATCCTGGCCGACCCTTTAAGTTTCAAGGCTTTTAGGGTGTGCTCTAATTAGACACAGCTCTTCTAAGAGGCTTTGAGACTTGGTTTCACTGACTGCAAATCAGTCTGTAATCTTACAGCTGTTCCCCCCCCCCGTCCCTCCCAATAACTATAAATGTTAACTTAGAAATTCAAGTAATTTTCAGATTCTGTGGCTGTGGCTGCGGTGAAGAGGAATAATCATAAGGAAGATAGCAGTGTTCTTGTATTTTGGATTCTCTTGTATTTTGGGTATAAGAGGAGCTGGCTAAATCCCATCTAACACTTGCTCTCTTGGTTTAGGTCCCGTCAGGGTGGTTAAACAACAGAATAAATTGCCCAGGGAGGTTGTGGAGTCTCCATCGCTGGAGATATTTAAGAAGTTAGATAAACATCTATCTGGGATTATCTAGAGATGGTGCTTGGTCCTTCCGTAAGCACTGGATTCCATGACCTCTCAAGGTCCCTTCCCGTTCTAGAGTTCCTTGATTCCATACTGGCCCTTCCTGAAGTTCTCAGGAGGTGAATAAAGCTCCCAATGATCCTAATAGAATCTAGAAAGTTCTCAGAAGACTTGGAAGAGTCTAGAAAGACTCCTGGCTCTAGACTCATGATTCTGCATGGCTCTCTGTCTGCGTGTCACCCCAGAGGTGGCTGCAGTCCTGGCTGGGTGTCCTATTGTCTATTCCCATTTGTTACAGCACTGGCTTCCTTTGACCTGAAGAGCCTGACTGAACTCTCCAGCCTTCATTCTTCGTCCTGAGCTCATTGTCACCGTCACCATTGTCAGGGTGTTGTCCCGTGGTGCCCAGGCTCCAGGAATATTCCTGGCCTGGGGAGCCAGCCCCACCAGACTTGGGCCTGGGTCTCTCCCTCGGCCCCACGTGGTTCTCCTGTGTGCTTACCTTGGTGCATCCCCCAGCCCTGCCTGCTACCACAAGATGATTGTAAAGGGCTCCATGGCTCCTGCCACAACCACCAGCAGCCCAGAGGTGCTAAAGCTGCTTCCAGCCCCACCACTGCATGTGCAGATGCAGACACATCCCTGAAGACTTTGGGTGGGAGGTGTGTGTGTCTCCATGTGTAGCCCCCCCTCCAGTGCTCTTGTGAGGGTGGTGCCAGTGGGCAGTAGTGCATGGAGAATCCTAGCCACTCTGTCTAAGAGCCACTGCCAGAGGAGGGTGCCCCAGGTAAGCGCTGCACCCCCTCTTCCTCCCTGTAACCCCCTTCTACTCCTAAAATCCCTCCCAGAGCCTGATTCCCTCACCCCTTCCTGCACCTCCTCCCACTCAAACTCCCTCCCAGAGCCTGACCCCTCAGTTCTTGTGCACCCAAACTCCCTCCCTGCACCCCATCCCCTCCCCCAGCCTAGAGCCTGCACCAGGCCACCAAACTCCCTCCCAGAGGCTGCATCCCAGACCACGCCCACCCAAACTCTCTCCCGGAGCCCCAGGCAAGTGGGGGGGAGGGGGCAGGAGGGATGTGGACCCAGTCTGGGAACCACCACAATGTCTACAAACCTACTGCCCTGACGGCTGTAATTAAACAGCTCAACTACACCGGCTTCCTTCCGCCGCCCGAGCCCCATGCGACTGGCGCTTTCCTGTGGTTGATCAGCACAGTCACCACCCGGTTTCCCGTAAATGCTCTGAGAGGTTTGCGGTCCTTAGACCCGGGGGCTGGGCTCTGCCTTCCTACAAAACCGGCAAGAGCCGCTACCTCTGGGGCACAGAGAGACTCTGGAAGCGCCCAAGGGAGCTCACCAGCAGGAGGCTGTTGATCTGCTACAGTCCCAGGTACGTCGGTTCCCGTTGCCCCTCAGCAGGGCTGTCCAAGTGCATCCACAGCTGCTGTTTTGTTGTAGGCTCGAAAGGATGAGATTTTAATCAGGGAATAGCAGCAAACGTCGATTTCATGCGTGAACACACAAACCAACAAAAATTACCCTGGATAACAACCTACCTTTGCTGCCAGGAAGAATGAGAAACATGCTAGCTGTAAAACTCTGGAGCTTGATTAGAGGTGATTTGTGGATTTGAAATCTAATGGTGGTGATTTGTGGCAGAGGGGCTATGACGCTTTAACTTTTTGAATCTCAGTGTCCACTGTGGTTCAATTATTGTCGCCCGACGCCTCCGTTATCTCCACCAATGGGAAGCCGAGTCACCTCTTCAGGGGAAACCTCAAAGAGCTGCTGGAGACAAACCCTGCCCCTCCCATTGCCGGGGTCCCTACAACGGGCCCTTCTCAGCTTGGACTTTGCTCCTGGCCCCAGCCACTCCCTGGAGGTTGGTGCCCGGCCAAGCGGAGGAGCAGGCTGGGCGTGTGAGCACAGCGATTGCTGCCCATGGAGCGGCTTCTCCCAGCTGGGCTGGATTCCTGGCTTCCTGACGCAGCCAGTGGCCAAACTGCAAAGGGGCCAGGAGTACACCGCGGGCTGTGATGTATTGGAGAGTATAAAATGGCACCCCCACCGGATCCTCCCCTCCCAGACCTGCCCCTAATACCAATTCATCCTTTTCCCCTTATTCCTAGGCCCGCTCCCCACATTCCTGCCCCTCCCCCATCACCCACTCACCCCTCACCCCACATTCCTGCCCATCTTTCTAGCATCAACTCACCCCTTTCCCCCCTGGTATCCATGGCCACACCCCTAACAGCCCCTGACTCCTGCTCCCCACATCCCCAGTCCTGTGTCTGGGTCACACGGTTCACTATGATACAGCTCCAGCAAGGGCCACTTCCGTCTCTCCGAGCTCTCCTTGCACATTAGGTTTTCAGCTTCCCAGATCTCCCACGTTGTTCTTTTCTGCCCATGATGCCCAGGTGTAGCCGGTATCCATGGCCACACCCCTAACAGCCCCTGACTCCTGCTCCCCACATCCCCAGTCCTGTGTCTGGGTCACACGGTTCACTATGATACAGCTCCAGCAAGGGCCACTTCCGTCTCTCCGAGCTCTCCTTGCACATTAGGTTTTCAGCTTCCCAGATCTCCCACGTTGTTCTTTTCTGCCCATGATGCCCAGGTGTAGCCGCCCCACTGGCTTCAACAGCAGCACGAACACATTTGCCACCCACTCCTTGTGTCCGGCCTGCATCGGGTTTGCTTTGCGCCTGCAGCTGCCCATGAATCAGGGAT